GATGTTTTACATTGCCTGAGACTTACAGCCAGAATGCGGCCCAAATCTTAGCCTGTTGTTTACAGATCTCATCATATTCTGCTCTTCATAGCACTGACTGGCATCTAAAGTTGTTTCAACTAAAATCAGCCAGTCCCAAGGCGTCATATGGTAATTTTCAGACAAAGCATTAAAGAGTCTTTTTGTAAAAGGACTGTTAGCCCCATCTTCTCTAGTTGATGAGCCTGATTTAAGAGAGTACCTTTTGACACATTAATTCCTTTATCCTTGAGCATGCAAACTAAAAATTTACAATGATGTTTTTGCCTTTTACTCGAATTCTTCCCCATCATAATCTGGCTGATTAAAAAAGTCCTCATCCACTTATGATCACGACTCCGATACTGGCATGGGCTTTGTGTGCAGTGAACTTCACACCTTTCCAGTGAATTTCCACTTTGTTTTTTGCTCAGGCGAATCTTCTCCTCCAGTCCCTGTCTGGGGTGCCAGATGCCGCAACCTTTGCTGCAGGCTTCAGGATCTGAGGAGGGGCCAATGCACAAATGAAAATGCTATACAAGAAATATGAATTTAGAAGACATTGTGGGGCAGGTGGAACCTTTCTTGAAGAGAGACACTGACTCTGGCCTGGTCCGCTATTTATTTACTTGAACATGCATGTGCCCTTTAGCAACACATACAGGCATATCAAAGGTAAATTTTGGTAAACAGTAAAAGGATTATCAGGTTAGGGAATTGCCTTGAGCCACCACTATCTCAACAGACGAGGTGCTTAGCATCAGCCCTGCTAATGCCCAAGGTCCATCAGCCTTCTGAGTTCCTTGGTGCACTCTTGTGACAGTATTGGCAAGCGGTGGCTTCCTGCAAAAGCCTAATATGCAAATTGTCCCCTCAGGAGTTCAACTGGGAGACCAGGAGTTTGATTGCTCGCTGTGATATGTACTGACCACTAGGGGGTGGTGTGGAATGAAGGAAGGCCCTGGCCAGCAGCCGGCACCTGGGGAAGGGAGGCCCTGGCTGGCAGCTAGAAGGCCCCGATTTGCCCTGATCACCAGCCAGGCCTAGGGACCCTACCTGTGCATGGATTTCGTGCACTGGGCCTCTAGTCTATTATAAGGTTATTTTCCAGAAAGGAGAAATCAAAAATACTAAAACAAAATTCCTAATTATTTAGTTTGTAAAAATAATTGCTTGAAACTAATTATTAAAACAAAAAAACACTTAGTAGATTATTTTGGGAGAGTGAAGGTGGTTCTATGGTTTTTTAACATGAAGAAATTTAATAGAGACCAGCTTCATGTTACTACACATTTAGTTTGTGTGGAAGTAATTACAGTGAATCAACCAATCCAATAAGATAAATTTGCCTATTATGATCCCGGTATGACATTAGACACTGGAGATTCAGTCAAGAAAAATATATGACCTCATGAATCTTATATCCTAGTGAAGAGAGACAGGTGATAAATGGGAATTTTAGATAATGGTAACTGTAGTAGGAGAAAAAAAATGGTAACATGATAGAGACTGACTTGGGAACTAGGGTGAATATTATTTTAGTTTGGGTGGTCAAGGAAGGCCTCTTTAAGGATGTGAGTTTAGACAATATAAACGATGAGGCAGAGCTAAGTGTTCAACAGAGGGAATAAGTGTAAAGGCTCTGATGCAGGAAGTGTCCTGTAGGAATTTCAGGAAAAGAAACAGTCAGATGTGGCCTAGGAGTAGTGAAGGAGAAACAGAGAGCTTGGAGACGTAGATAGGATCTATTCTACTTATAGGACTAGATCTGAATCTGGATTTTCTCCTCTCCAACTGGAGTTGCAGATGGCTCTTCTTTTGTATCTGTGGTTTGGTGAGTTGCTCTGAATAATGTGCTATGGAATCTTGCATTCTACTGTTCATTAAAACTCCATCATGGTCTCCATATCACAAATGCAAGATAAAGACTGCTTTATGCTAGAAAAAGAGTGTACCATAGAGGCAAGAGAGAATAAGCTACATCTGAGATGATTCCAAGACTCTGAGTAACAGGATGCAGTTGCAACTCTGACTTACCAGTATTTTTGGAAGGAATTTTAGAGACAGGATAGGCAGTCAGGGAATAAGGGGGGGTGGTCCATGGGAGAGAAATGCATAGGTGAGGGCTGGGAGCCACCAGAATGCCTATCTTACTTTTAAGAGGATAGAGAAAGGCCACAAGATAAGGGGAAGGGAAAGGCATACATTCACAGAGGATAGAAGAATGTTGCAAGATAAGAGGGAGAGAAAAAGGGGGGTACCAGGTGGGCTTTGACCTTTTAAACTGATACTCTGCAGAAGAATGGCCAATTAGAAAGAGTCCAATTAGAAGGGGTCATGTTCAGACAAAGAGCTACCAGAATATATAAATCAGAGACTCAGAGACTCAGAACAAGATTTAGATTTTTTTCCCATTTTAGAGAGAGAGAGACAGCAGGCTTTTCACATTTGGGGACCCAGGAGGAGTTTGAATATGCTTCCAATAAACTTTTACCTTTTTATATAAAATCTTTTAGTCCATGAATTTATTCTTCAAATTTTGTAGGACAAGAACCCACAAGGAAGAGTCCACACCCCAACTCCATGTATCACTTTGAAGGAAGAAAAGCCCTCTAATACTCTGGAATGCCTGGTAGGTCTGTCCACTAAAGTAAGCCAGAATTCCCCTGACTCTAAGAAGTTAATCCAGCCACTGTGTAAGTCCAGAGGGGATAACCTAAACCCAGAAGCTTGAGTAGACTTAAAAGTGTATGTATAGTTTTGAGCCATCTGAATTTTTATCCTCAAACATTTGAACTTTTGGATGGGTCATGGTTAGAGTGGTTCTGCTACTGAGTAAAAATTTTACTTGGGTAAACTCACACACACCAACCCAAACATGTTACCACTGTGTTCACTGGCCACAAATTTACAGTGAGCAACTTTGACATTTCACCAAATACACAAACTTGGAACTGAATCCAACAGTATAGAAGGGGGAGACTTATGATCTACTAGAGTTTTTGTTTGTTTGTTTTTTGTTTTTTTTAAGGCTAAAATGGGCCTGGTCAGTTTTTCTCAGTGATTAGAGCATCGATCTGCACACCAAAGGGTCTCGGGTCGATTCCTGGTAAAGGGCATGTACCTGAGTTGTAGGTTCATTCTCCAGCCGCAGCCTGGGTAAGTTCAGGAGGGAACCAGTCAATCTCTCTCTCTCTCTCTCTCCTTCCCTCCCTTTCTCTCTCTTCCCCCAACCCCTGACTCCCTTTTTTCTACTCTCTCTGAAAAAGCAATGGGAAAAATATTTTCAGGTAGAGATTAACAACAACCACAAAAGACTAAAATGATTCACTAAATAATCCACTATTTTGAAGTCAACACATAAAAATATTTAGAAAGGTGGACAATCTTGTTCAGTAAGGCCTCTTAGAGAAGATCTAAAGAGTACTTTGAATGATGATAAAGATATATTTAGGAAATTTGGGAGCTGATGTTGGCAGGGACAGGATGGAACAAATCAACCTGAACAAAAGAGGAGGTAAGTATTTCCCTTAAATACAAGATACTTCTAAGTAAATTTAAAGCCTTGGCACAATTTAGATTTTGCACCGTTGGTTACGGGAAGCAATAATAATTATTCAAGCCATATAATTTCCAGGTCTTCCCACCCCCAACCCTGGGTTTTAAAGGTGTGAGAATTTGCTTTAATTAAAACTTTGATTAAGAAAATAAATTATTGGTCTGGTCGGTGTGGCTCAGTTGGTTGGGTGTCCTCCCAGGCACCAAAAGGTTCCTCCATCAATTCTGGTCAGGGCACATGCCAGGGCTGTGGGCTCGATCCCCACTAGGGGGCGTGCAGGAGGCAGCCTACACATGTTCTGCTTTAACATCAGTATTTCTTTCTCCCTCTCCCTTTTTCTCTAAAAACCAATAAAAATATTTTTTAAAAAAGAAAAATTATTCAAGGAAGTAGCTTATTGTGCTGCAGTTGGCTTTTGCCTAAATAACACTCATCTTTAAAATCAGATTTATAAATATGTAGATGAAGAAGCCATTGAAGGACTGTGATGCAGAGTCTATCAAATCCTAAAAACGCGCTTATCCGTGATTATGTGACAGTACACCTGAATTACATGCGAATAAACGTATGAATCGGGAATGTGGCGCCTTTCTACTATCACAAACGAGTTGTTAAAAGAGTCTTCAGAAATTCAGGAAGCAGGGACGTCTGGCCGCGCGGCGAGGCAGAGGGCACAGGGACAGGAATGACCCGACAGTCACACAGGGCTGTCCATTGACGTGAGCCCTCACGGTTCAGCCGCCCCGCAGCCTGTGGGCTTCCGCGCAGCAGGAGGCGGCGGGGAGGTAACGGCGCTGAGCCGAGCTCCGCCGTCCGAAGCCTTCCAGGTCAGTCAGCACGCCAGCCGGGACCGGTAGACGCGGACACACCGATAGGCCCCGCCCACTAAGACAGGCCCCGCCCATCAAGACTGGCCCCGCCCACCGCTAGAGGACTAGCTCCGGCTGCGTCGCTAACGCGGGGCGGAGGGTGACGAGAGGAGTCGCGAGAATCTCCTGGGGGCGGCGGTTCCCACGGTCCTGGACCCCGACGCTTGCAGAGCTGCCTCTCGGGACTTCCCACGCACCGCTCCTCCGGCTTCTGCCTGCCCGCCGTCCCCCGCGCAGCCCCTGCGGCTCAGGCACGGCCCCGCGCTCCGCCGCCCTGGCGCCCGCTACTCTGTCGTCCCCAGACCGGCGCGGACCGGTTCGGCCGGGGCGCAGGCGGCTGGGGAGGGGTCGCGGGCCCTGGGGCCGCGCTGGTGCCGCCACCGACCTGGGGCTGTCGGTGGAGGGTGAGTGCTGGCTCCCAGGAGACGGGACGCTCTTCGGGGCCAACGGGCCGCGCGCGGAGGCAGCCGTGGGGCCGACCCATCCCTTCTCGGGCCCTGCGGCGGGGCGGGGCCTCGGGTCGCGGCCCGGGTCTCCCGGCCTGCCCCCTTCGTGGGGCGCGACGGTGGCGGCCCTGTGTCCGAGCGCGGATCCTTCTGGCGCCTCCTCCTCCTCCCTGCTTTCTTCCCCATCCTCCCCTTCATCGCGGAGCGAGGTGATGGCGCTAAAGGATGTGCGGGAGGTGAAGGAGGAGAACACCCTGAATGAGAAGCTTTTCTTGCTGGCGTGCGACAAGGGTGAGAGCTCGGCCCCGTTCTCCGCTCCCGATGCTCTTGTCCTCCACACCCCTCCCTCATCCTCCGCAGCCTCAGCTTGGGGCTCTCCCTCTCTTGGCACCGGGCGCCTGACCCGCCGCCCCCACCGCCTCTCCGGGGCGCCCCCCGCCGCCTCTGCCCTGTGAGTGCGCAGCTGGCAGCGCGAACAGCGGGCGCGGCCCTCAGTTGCGGCCGCTGTGCCCAGGCGCTGGCCGCGGTCGCCGTGCTGGCGTCCTGTGTTCAGGCAGCGCTGTGGGGGCGCGGACCCTAGGATTTTAGCCCTGCCTCTGCTGCTGACTACACGAATGACCCGGTCTCTTTGGGGACTTAGTTTTTTCCTGTTTAGAAGCCCAAAGGGCTTGTCTAGTGTGAAAATCCCATGACCTTGCTTAAGGTGCCTCGTGTTTGTGGGCTCTCGCCTGTTTTCCCCGTCTTCATTAAAATCTTACTTGTGTTACAGTATTTTAAGTTCAGCCACCCAGTGCCTTGGTGTACAGTGACTGTTATGTCAGAATCCTAGGTGGAGACAGACAGGACTGAAGAAATATTCCCAAACTTTCTCCAAATTTACAGAACAACTTTGTTCATGCTTTTTATTGGAGAAGATTTATTGCTTCTGAACCTTCTTTGAGAAATAAAGGTAGTACAAAATAATTACAGGGCAAAAATGTGGACGATATTTAATACTTTTCTTAAAAAAAAAGATTCGTCACTTTTATGGCCATATAAAATCTCTTCACTCAAGCATGCTTTCTTTTGTTGCATATAGTAAATGGAATGGGAAATTGATTGCCCTAAGACTAATTTTACTTCCTATGTGAAATACTATAAAATTTATTTTTCTACATTTATTCAGCTTGCCTTTGTTGACCTAAAAATAAAAGTTATTTTACCAGCAAAAATGGGTTTATTTGGGAACAGCAAAGAAATGCAATTCAGGACAAGTAAGCTACAGCAAAAGCCATTGGCAAGGCCAACGAACAAAGGAGAGGAAAGTTTTATGGAGAAGAAGGAAGTTGGGAAGGGTAGTTTTGAATAAAGTTCATTGGAAAAATTGAGAGTTAAGGGCGGTGATGGTTTCTCATTGGCTGGGAATGTCAATTTCTTGTAGGAGACCTAATGTACATCTTTTATGTTGGGGCCTACCATTGATGATTCTTTCCTGTTGAGGATTTTTCTGTTGGGTTCTGTAATTGATAATCAATTCATCCTATAATTTGACTCCTGGTACTACGTATGAGCACCCGCTCTGGCCTGACACTATTTCAAGTAAGATTTCCCTTTGTTAATTTTCACACCTTCCAATGGCTATGCTCATTTAGAAAACTCAGTTTAGGATCATGCAGAATTCAAGAACATAAACTCAAAGGGCAGTTTTACACTATGAAAAGATTAGCTTCAGAGGATATTTTGTATGTGGGAGTTTTTAAAAATATTTTTATTGATTTCAGAGAGAGAGGGAGAAGGAGAGATAGATAGAAACATCAATGATGAGAGAGAATCATCCATAAGCTGCCTCCTGCACACCCCCCCACTGGAGATCGAGCCCACAACAAGGGTATGTGCCCTGACTGGGAATGAACCATGACTTCCTGGTTCATAGGTCAGTGTTCAACCACTGAGCCACCTGGTATTTTTCATAAGTGTCAGTGACCTCTTACTGCTTTAGAAGTAGGATTTGATTTACATAATCTTTTACAAACACATTGACTTATAAAGGTCACCTATGTCAGCCACTTTTATGTTCTTATGTAATAGTATTAAACTATAATATGAAAACATTCCTTAAAGTCCGGCATGGACACAACTTTGAATTGTCTTGGAAATGTAAAGAAGCATAATATATGACTATAACCTCACAAAAATCATTTTGGATTAGGTAAAATTGCTTAGTATTACTGGAGTGGATTGTATAAGTTCTTTTCCCTAAAGAAACTCTCAGAGGGAATGGAAGATTCTGTTGCACTAGAATGAGTAAATCACTGCTGCATGTCCCCCAGCTTACTGAGCTGTGGTTATTTTAAAGCAAACAGAAAGTATGTCAAGAAAGGGAATTTGATGTTCCTGTCAAACTGAGGAATATGGTTCGAGTAAGTACTTGTATGTTGTGTGTAATTAATATTATTGCATGACATATTTACTGGTAAAAGAAAAGAATGTTTTAATATATGATAGTTTTGTAGCCTGTCCAGTAGTGCAGTTGAAATAGCTTGGTAATCTCTGTCAGCTTCCCATTTTATAAGATTATTAAGATTCTTGGAGAGATTTGGCTTTTGGGAGTGGGTAGAAAGTAAATATGCATGCTTTTTTTTTTTTCCCATATAAAGTAAAAAAAAATTAAGGAGAGAGTAAGTAGGTATTTTCTGTTTCAGGTATGTTCAAATGAGCTCTTGGGTTAGGTTGAGGAAAATGGCTTATTTTTTACACTATGGTATTCTTTTACATGTAAAAAATAAATAGGAGTTACAGCAGTATTTTTTTACATGTTTGTATTCACTAATATTGTTAAACCTCTTTTAGTATCACCCAAACCAAATCTGCAAGAGGAAATTTCCTGAAGTAGCTATAGTTTCCACTATTACATTGGAGCTTTTGTCAAACCAAATGGCAACTGTTTGCTAAAACAACTCTTTGGGTTAGAGTGCATATACTTTTTATAGATGCTCTCATTTCATCCTCACAACCCAGTGAGCTATATTTGTTGTTATCCCCATTTTACAAATAAGAAAAATGAGAATTAGCAGAATTTTAAAATTATTCTGCCTAAAGTTGCATTAGTTAAGAAGTACAACTAGGATATATCTTGAGCCTGCACTATTAACCACTATGTTATATTGATCTCGTTTTAGTTGGGTGAATGAAAATCATTTGTGTTAGAAAAGACATGTTCACACTTGGACTTACTAGTTGAAAATTAAACTCGCTCTCTATGAATGTTTTATAAACCTTGCTTTCCGTGGGTCAAATTTATCCAATAAAAGTAAAAAACTTTAATAGCACCAGAGCAAATCTACTGTAGAACATCTATGTTTTTTATCCTTTTCATTTAGCAATCTTACTCTACATGAACAACATGTTCATAATGCATTATACTTAGAAAGAATTCCTAAAATAAAAATTGTGGAGATGAGGTGGTTATGTGTATGTTAGTGGATGAGTGGGCCTTTGAAAGATATGTACAGATTAAGGAGTAAAGAAAAAATTAGAAAAGAGCCTGGCCAATGTAGCTCAGCTGTTGAGCATTGACCCAGCAACCAAGCGGTCACTGGTTGGATTCCAGGTCAGGGCACATGCCTGGGTTGCAAGCTCCATCCCCTGTGGGGGTCCTGCAGGAGGCAGCCAATCAATGATTTTTCTCTCTCATTGATGTTTCTATCTCTTATCTCTCTCCTTCCTTTTCACTGGTCTATCTGTATGTTCACTATCAGTTCAACTTATGACTAAAAGTTTCACTTTCTGAAGTGTTTGATAAGTTTTTGCCATAGAGCATGAGTGTCTATTCGTAGTGCTATGAGGAAAATATTTCTTTTTGTGATTAGTATTCTTAAGGTAACTAAGGAAATGTGGCATCAAGAAAATTATGGTTCAACTTCTTCCAAAATGCATGGGGGGCTTTAAAGTCATTGATTTCAAATAATACCACTTTCCCTGTTTGGGTTGCTCAGTTGTTAGAACATTGTCCCATTCACCAAAAAGGTAGTGGGTTCATTTCCCAGTCAGGTCAGGGCACATACCTAGGTTGCAGATTTGATGATCGAGGATCAATGTTTCTCTCGCTCTTCCTTTCTCTCTAGAAATAAGTGAAAGCATATCTTCAGGCGAGGATTAAAAAATAATAATAATAGTAAATCTGTTTGAAATTTTACCCCTTCTCCCCCAAATGTTACTTTTTTTAATTCACTCATTTAGTCAAGTTTTAGGATTTACTTTTTCTGTATTATGAAATAATTTCTTTTTCCTCTGGTTTTCACTCTGTTCTTTTCTGCAGTTTTCTTTTGTGGTGGTTGTTTTGCTTTTTTTAAAATTCATAGGTGTCTAAAGAACAACTGTATTTGCAAGTCACTTAAAATGGTTTATATTATATTTTAAAAGTAAAATGAAAAGAAACAAAACTCTGCTTTCTTTGTGTAGTTAATTAGCATTTCTCTTGATTTATTTCCCTTATTACTGCACTAGTTGGTCAGCAGACAAATATAGTGGGCCCTCCATGAAAATGATTACCTTTGGCATTATTCTCATTTTTTCCTATTGGTCAGCTGTTTTGATGTGGGCTAGAGTTAGGCAGAAGGAAATCTGCATGCTCTTGACAGGTTAAAATTTTACTTTGAAATATTCTGACTTTCGCCTCTACCAGCATTAATTCCACTCCTGCTTTAGAGTTTTGTGAGTTGGGTGTTCCCTGGTCATAATCTAAACAGTTTCATTTATGAGATAAGGGTGTGTGTGGGGGGGGGGGCGGGGGGGAGAAGAGGAGAGGAATTTCAGGCATTTTTTGTTGAGCATATACTAGTACACATTAACACTGCTTTTCCAAAGTATGTAAAATGTCTTCGTAATATCCTGAGCTTATTACTTGATCTCATAATTATTTTGATGTATGAGTAAATGTGGGTATGTATTTGAGATGTAAAACTGTAAGCTTATAATTTTTCTAGCTTCCAGTCTGTATTTTTGGACATTCTTTATTGCTTAAAATATCTTCTAAAAGTTTCTCTCCTTATCATTCAGTTGTGAATTTTAAACTAGCAACTTTCAATGTTTGCAGCTGATGTACATATTATTTTACCAAGATAGTAGTTTTTAGCAAAGAAATATTCACATTTTTGCATATTTCCATATACAAAAATGAGTTTAGGTTTTAATCTTTTAAATTAACAGGCTAAGTTTTCTTTACAGTCATTCACTTTCAATATGTTATGAATGTTAAATTGTGTTTGTATTTGTTATTTAGGTGACTATTATATGGTTAAAAAGATTTTGGA